CCAGTGGTGCTGTGCAATGATGCAGCTCAGCCGGGCGCAGCGGTGACCTAGAGCTGCTCCTCCTTCCCAAACGAGTACGAAAATAACAGCGGAACCGTCCTTAGCTTTTCTCTGTTGGGGATTTTGTTGGTTTGTTTTATGATTTATAAAAAGCTCTTCCCAAACCCAAGCGTGTGCTCCGTTAAACCTCCGTTCCGTCGTGCAAATTGTTGTGGACTTTGATTTCCAAGTTCACCTGCTTCACCTTCCGGCCTTTCCCCTCGCCGATGCCCCCGTTCTCCCTCAATATGTTAATATTCCTCACGGTGCAGTACCGGCCGTCCAGGGCCTTCCCTGCACCCCTGGGCAGCTCCACCTTGGTGTTCAGGGGATGCTCCTCCAGGGCGGCTCTGGCCGCCTCCCGCTTCCTCCGCAGCTTTCCACACCTCCTGGCGAGGAGGCAAACCCCGGAGAGCACCAGCAGGAGCAGGGTGAGGGCAGCGAAGGCGCTCCCCAGGGAAGCGCCTGTTTGAGATAAGGAGGCCGCGACAGCGGCTTCCTCCCTCTCCAAGATCAGTGACTTCATGTTGGTGCCGTTCTTGACCTGGTCGCCTTCGTTGTCGTAGACCAAGGAATCGTCCAGCATCGGCCTCCCGTCGCTATCGACCAAGTCCCTGCGGGCGCGTTTCCAGCGGGCAGCGAGGGATCGCTGCACACGAGGCCCCGCCGCGCTCTCGGGGCTGATGACGTAGATGACCTGAAGGTACCACTGGTGTCCAGCTTCCACCTTTAAGAAAGGGAAGACGGGAAATTCAAACTACAGTTTTTAGATTGAGTGATTTTGTGGAGTAAAGGCAGAGCCGGCTGCGGTTTTGTCCCGTTTCCCGACTCATGCAAATAGTGGCAGACAAGGTCTGTGTGGTTCTACAAGCGCCTGCGATAATATTCATCACGAGGTGAGGTGTTGGGTCTTTTGTCTGTCTCTGGCAACTGCCATAATTAATTCTGGAACGTTAATAATACGTTTTTAAAGAGCTGCTTTCCTGAGTGCTTTGGAAAACAAAAAATGTAGTCACCAGAATAAACTACTCATCTCCTTTTTCTGTGTTGGAGTTTGCTTCTTAATTGGCTCCACTGTTGATTTATGGTAAAAAAACACTTAAGCAAACAGAGGTCACCCAAAGAGGGCCTCTCTGGGGAGGGCCAAACAAGCCCAGGAACCAGGATATAAAGTTCTGCCCTGGACTGAGCTTCCTCTGAGTCCCTCCTGTTTCTGCCAGTCTGCTCCGCCACTCCGAGTCTGGTACTCCCAGCTTCTACGCACAGACAGGAACCGCAACCAGAGGTCGCCTGCCCCAACACCGGGAAGGGGCGTGGAGAGCTCTGAGCTGCGGCTGCCTTCAGAGGAAGGGCTGGCGCCGTTGGCACTGCTGAACAGAGACTCTGGTTCCTCACCTCGCGTTTACACCCAGGCAAATCAAGGAGAGGCCTGCTACCGTACGACCTGCAAGCGCAGATAATCACGTGGACGGGAGGCTGCCTTGCTTCACGGAGACCACGCTGTGGGTGGGTGTGGAGACAGCGCGTCCCACCACGCCAGCAGAAGGGTTGGCTGAGCGTTGCTGTTAAAAGGCAGAGGGCTGCAAGGCCTGCCCTAGCGTTGATTTGGTTTCTCTAGGCAGTGTCAGGCCCAGAGCCTACAATTTGAAAGCGCTGGGAACATGCTGGACAGAGAAGTTGCTTTTGGGCTACCGATACCACGTGGCACGTACCTTGTAGAGAGCATCCACCTTGAGCGTAAATCCATCGACTCCGGGCATGCTGCTTACTGCATGAAATTCGGAGAGTTCAGAAGCAAAGTGGGCGTCAAAAGGCACGTCGTGGAAATACTTATCGGTCACTTCCGGTTGGTTTCGATCCTGGGAATCAGAGAGGCGTCATGAAAAGGGGTGCATGCCATCACCTTTCCCAAGGGAAGCCCCGTGTGCTGCTGCAGACATCGAACCCAAACGCCCAGTCTCCACACCCACATGCGGGCATGGACGTGTCTTTGGCCGCACGGCTTACCGCACAGAAAACACTGGTGACCTCTGTGGTTTGTAGACACTTCACACTGTTTTAACACCGACTGTGTCAGTATGAGGTTTGTAGAACTGAACATCAGGAGAAGAGTTTAACCGGCGGGCTCAAATACACACGGCAAACCAGCTGATGCCATGAACGTGACCCTCGTCCCGCGAGCGGTAACGGGGCAGCCAGCGGGGACGCTGGGAAATGTTAGCTACAAAGCATGTAGTAAGAGCTGAACGTGTCTCGGGAGCGAATCGTAGGTTTGCACAAGGGAGGAGAACTGCTGAGTAACTAACTGGTGAATAAACCTCCCTTTATATGATGCCAGTCCCACCAATCCTGAGCCATGGTACAAGCAGAGATCGAGGGAAGTTTTAGGTGCTTGGTACATCACTTCCTTTTCTTCCTCATTTGTGGTTTGGGGTTTTCTTTAGACTAAGAAATACTCACAGAGACTGAGGAGAAACTGATCTTGTCTGCATGGTTTGCACCTGTCTGCCCAGTACTGCAAAACATATCTACCTCTTTTCACTTCTCATCCCTTTGTAGTTGGAATCTGTTCCGAGTCGGGGGAAAAGCCAAACAGAAAGCAGAAGCGGAGGGCAGTTCTGCAAGCATTTCAGACCCCTCAGACGAGGGGAGTGTTTAGCAGAGGCACCACACTTCATTCTGGTGCTGTTTTCCTGTGGCTGCACAATGGTGTGGGTGGCAGGGGCTGCCTAGAGACTGCGGGGTGTTGCAGGGTTTCGGGGTGCCTGGGGAAAGGCAAACAGCAAGGCAAGAGCGCTGCATCGCCTGGGACAGCCAGGCTAGCGAGAGTGTGCGGGCTGAAACAGCTGACACAAACTAACCTGGAATATGTGCAGCCCCTCCCCACAAACAGGAAGGTCATTTAGTTCCCTGTTACGTCAGCAAAAGGCTGAGAGACCAGACTTCTCCGGGCATTGATCACACACAATACTCGACTCAGCAGCTTTGTCGACAGCAGAACACTTACCAAGAGGAGAAAGCGGTGTTTCAGGTGCTTGTTGGGTTGAATGCAGCCATACTGGGGCCCCTCGTTATAGACGGTGCCCGTCGGGTCAAAGAAAGGCACGTAGCCATCCTTGCCTGTACACAGATAGACTTTTTCCAACTGCAGTTTGTAGGCAGCATTTAGGTTTTGTTCGGGGTTCCAGAGCACGCGGCCGTACAGGATTTGCCCTGAGGAGGTTGGGAAAATCACAGTCAGGTTAAATTCTCCAACAAGAGAACCATTGTTGGAGCCAAACGCCCCCAACTACGCATGGCTCTGGGTTTGCAGGGTTTTGATGTGCGTGTGTAGATGGCAGAATCTGATGCCAGAGCACATTCTTGTCTTCTGGTCATTCTGTTACAGGGCCGTAAGCAGCTCCAAATGCTGCCTGTTGCTGTGAAAGAGGCAAATCTGGCTTCACCCTTCTCCTTCAGAGGGACGGAAGTGACGGCAGAAACATTAGGTACAAGCAGAACAGTGGAGAAGAAGGAAATGAATCCTACCCTTTGAAAAAGCCCCTTTGTAATCCATTTCTGCCAGAGACATTTCGGATTTGGTGGGATCCATCAGGAACACCTTCTCGTTGTTACACAGCTGAAACTCCGTGTTTAGGGAGTACACGACAGGAACTGGGCGGTTTGTCTGCTGGAAGGCGATGGGGATGAGAAATCTAAAATTTGGGCCAGGAAAGGAAAGAGGAGAGGTTTAGTTTGGATGCATCTGAAGATACATGCTGGTGACCAACACGGTGTGCTTCACCTTTCCTCCCTCCTACTTTGCTATTTGTAGTCCAGCAGCCCACAGTACGGTGGGAATTCAGCCCAAGATGGCTGGTTGCCCCCCACCCTGCCCCAGTTCTGCAGTAAAGGGCTCTGCACGACCAGCTGAAATCTTTTCCCTGCAGGTTTGATTTTTGTCTCCATTGCAAGGGGACTCCTGAGCCAAAGGAGAGGTTCCTCCCCTCCCCTTTTCCCTTCCCGCTGCTGTTGTGGCCTGTCTCACGCCTGGTGTGACCGCACGAACAACCCAAAAGGGGCTGACGCTGCCCAGCTGCCGTGCTGCTGGGGACTGCTTACCGCTCCGGAGCGTGAGCCGTGCAGGGCAGGGGCTTGTCTCCAGGCTCTACCCACGGCTGCGTGGGCTGCACGGTGCAGGGGATTAAGAAGATCGTGTACTCTCCAGAGTAGTCCTTCCTGGGAACAGATGGGAGACACCGCGGTCACCAAACGAGACTCCAAGCTGCTCACCCAGCTGATGCGTTTGCCTAACACCCACCACTTTCTGAGTAGCGTAAGCAGGCAAGACAAAGTTCATAGCAGGACCTATCCCTTGCCCCAGAAATGTCCCTCTGCTCCAGCAGGAGAGACAAATTTGACCCGCGGTGTTTAATCTGACCCTCTGTGCAAGAAGCACAGACCGTAAGAAGGCACAGAAGTCACAGAACTAATAATGAAAAGGAATTTTTTTTTAAAAAAGTGAACCAAATATTTCTAGATCTTAATGTACCTACTTCCACCAAGCATAGCACTACTGATTCCGTCAGTCACGGACAGGAACTCCTGCTTTTCACTTGCAGACCTCAAAACAACCTCGAATACATTGTCACCACGGGTATCCACCTACCCACTGGCTTGATTGCTAGAGAAATGCATTTATATTTGATGAAAATCAGATGAACTGATTTTTCTCTCTCAGGCCTGGATTTGAAACTGCCCCGTCGCTGCCGTTAACTACATGCATGTTCTTCACTTAACACCCTGCTGTGGGAAACTGCTGATGGTGGCCAAACCCACAGTCCTCACCTGTTATAGGAGCTGGTTGCTCTCCAGAGCTGGTACGGGGAGTCGAAAGTCTGAGCGCTCCACAGCAGCTGCAGGTCAAATTCGATCCCTCCCAGGTGGTCTGGGGTCATTAGAAAAGACTTGACGTCCGGCAGGCTGTGGTGCTCCATCACAAAAAGTCCTGGGGTGAGGACAAGGAGGTGACAGGTGAGATGGGGAGACCCCATGCTGCACAGCTCAGCACAGATGGACTCCTCGTGGGAAGAGAGACTCGTGCTGCTCCCTGTGCTTTCAGGACAGATCTGTATTTGTACACTGATCTCTTCCTCTGTCAGGACTAACGCTCTCACCTCTGAACTTGGCCTGTGTCTTGAACTCGATAACCAGCCGGCCATCCTCACGGATGTAGATCCTGATTATCTGCAGCCGGGCGGAGAGCACGCTGTCCGTCTGAATTCCTGCATGGTGCGGCAAGAACAAAGTCACTGGGGAGGCCACACGGCACGGTCGGTCCTCAGGTGGGCTCTGTCAGCCCCACGTAGCTCCAAAAGCATGTGAGAAAGCTCCAAAAAGGCACGGTTTAATTAGGATCATCCTGCACTGAGTCAGCCATACACCTCCTCCATTATTAGGTGCCACCTAAGACTCATTCAAGCATAAAGGAAGTAAATATACGGAGCTTCCCCATGTGATTCGCCTGTGAGTGTAACTTATTTCCCATGACAAGTTGTAGATCATTGTTTCTGAGAACTCCTGGCCTTAATTCCCGAGTGGCCCTCCATGAACAAAGCTCTGCGAGTCCCTCCTCTACAACACTAAGTGTCACCGCTGGCAGAATAAAATCCAAGGTGAGGCACTGCCTGTTCCTGGTAGCCCTTTGAGCAGCAACACTGCTCAAGGCTGCCGGCACGGGTTCCCAGCACACACCGGCTCCAAATATTGCGGGAAAGCAAAATTAATGAGTTGGAAATAGGGGACTCGCAGACACAGGGTTAAACCACACGCAGACACTTGGATGTTGGGTCTCGGATGTAACTGTCAGCAGAGGGCAGGCAGGCTTTAGGGCTCGCCACTGAGAGTACTGCTGTTTTAACAAACAAAGGGAAAAAGTCCATCCCGGAGAGCCAGAAGGCTGAGGAATGTGACCGTAGCTTCCACACGGGAATCACTGGAAAATATTGGAGACATCACTCCAGATATTACCAACCGGTTGGAGCGACTCCAGAGGAGGCCATGAAGATGCTCCGAGGGCTGGAGCCCCTCTGCTATGGGGACAGGCTGAGAGAGTTGGGCTTGTTCAGCCTGGAGAAGAGAAGGCTCCAGGGAGCCCTTATAGCACCTTCCAGTGCCTGAAGGGGCTACAAGGAAGCTGGGGGGGACTTTTTACAAGGGCCTGTAGGGACAGGACAAGGGGTAACGGGTTTAAATTGAAAGTGGGGAGGGTTAGATTGGATATCAGGAACAAGTTCTTCACGGAGTGGGTGGTGAGGCACTGGCACAGGTTGCCCAGAGAAGCTGTGGATGCCCCATCCCTGGAAGTGTTCAAGGCCAGGCTGGATGAGGCTTTGAGTCCCTTCCAACCCAAACCGTTCTGGGATTCTATGGCACCCCACAGAAGCAACCGCTGCCCGGCTGTGCAGACTCAGATGAAGAGAGAGCTCTTTTCCTGCAGCCCTTTCTAGGGCTCAGTGACAACTGTTCCCATGAGCAGAGAGAGGCTGGGGGGGACATGACAGCCCCTTGCTAAGCTTACACAAAGGCAGGCATACCTGGACTCAGCCTGCCTGCCCTTTACTTCAGTGAGTGCTACCTGTGCCCAGGGCTGCGGTGGCAGTGCAGGAACTAAGCAGAAGGAAAGAAGGAGAACAACCCAATTCTCCCGTAGCCCTTCAAGTGCCTCGGACCTACCCGTCCTCCAGAGAACAGTGTCGTAGAAGAAAGAGAACTCCATCTCCGTGTGATGCTCAAGGGAAGCCCAACCTCTCGGCGCTGTCACGTAAATGTAGGACACATAGAGTGGGACGTGGACTGTTAGGAAGGACTGAGCAGAGTCCCGTACCTGTCAGTGAAACCCAAAAAAGGTGGTCATGCACCTTCCGAAGGAGAGACGCTGGGCAACACTCACAGCACCCACTGCATTCACGTTCTGCTCTGAAAACAGTGGAAAAAAGACAGAGTACCTGCAACAGAAGACTCCTTTTTAGTTCTGGACTATGGATGCCCTAAACACAGTGAGGATGATGTAGGGACGAAGTATTTCTAAAGCAATATAATGTCATTGCTCCATAAAGACTGAGCATTCTTGGCAAACAATGAGCTGATTTGCAAAAAAAGTTATTGCTGGACTGCCATTTGAAAAATCATAATGAACTGCTGGGAAAGGGTATGCAGGCACAGAGCGCTCCTCACACACTACAGAAACTCCTACAACTAAGTCAGAGATAAGGGTCTCAACTTGCTTTACCTTTACGCGTGGGTACTTCAGACAAACCTGCATTTTAAATAACGGTGAGCGCTAAAGCACACTGGTGTCGTGGTACAAAAGGAGTTGTGGTCACAACTTCACCTCAAAACCCCCTCAGACTCCATTCCCTGAATTAACAGCAAGTGATTCTGCTTGCTCAGGTCCAGCCCTCAGCGTATCTGGAATACCACAGCTCTCCTCCGGCTGCACATACACCATCTGTTATCTGCGGGGCACAGCTGTACTCTGCAAGCTCCCGAGAGAGCTCAGGGAGACATTCCAGACTGGTTGCTGCCAGTCTCCCCGTACTAAATCATGCAGTTGTTCAGTTTAAGTAGCTTCTCTGGGTTTGTGCAAGTCATTGGAGCTATGAAAGGAAAGTTAACCAAGTATCCCAGACCGGCAGGAATCAAAAGAGATGATGCTGGCTGTGACATTTTGACTGGGAATTTAATCCAAGGATCTCTAAGATGAGATGCTCACTCGAGTGGAATGTACATGTATAATCCATCCACGAGAGGGCAGTGAGATGTCTGGGTAGCGGAAGCTGCTCTTTCATAAAAGAACATTTTTGGCTTTTGGTCTGCCAATCAGTTAATTAAGAAGTGAGTTAAAAATTCCCATGACCATGCTCCGCTCCGGAGTACGAACTGACGTGCCTCCGCTCCATTCTTTGCTCATTTATATTGGCTAAGAATACAGTCAGAATTGTAAAAGAATAGAGCAAAGCTGAGCATGTCTTCTATTTCCAGTACATCCTTAGATCAAAAACTAAAATTTTACTGGCACTCTGGAGACTAAGAAAATAAAGCTTATGTTACCCCCACCAAAATAAACAAATTAAACCCATTTCACAACACACCACTCTTTTCTTGGTCAGAGGGGGAAAACCCCTCATGACCCTGTTGTACAGAGCTGAGCAGCAAACACACCTAGCAAACATTGACGAACTCAAAGCGGAGCTCTGCCTAAAAACTGAGAAAGATCTGGATTCCGTGGAAGAGTTTTGGGATATGACAGCTCACCTGGAAGTCAGCGGTGACAGAGCCCCCGCAGACGTCGATTAATTCAGTCATGTCGTAATAAGCATCGAAAGTCCAAATGCAGCTCTTGAGGTTGAGGTGCTTGTAGAGCTGGATCGTCTTGGGCTCCCTCACTGTGTGGTCAAACTGGTAAGGACGGTCATAGCCAGGGCCGAGAACAATGCTGTCGTAGGTTACTTCATCCAGAAACCCTGCCTCTGGGATTAAGAGACATCAGGACACCGATCGCTCCGGTTTGTAAAGAGCTTGAAGCCAAGTACTGAGGTCCCATTTTCACTCTCAAATCATGTCAGTGATTTTTATTGTATGATGGGCTTCTCTCCCTTCATTGTCTTAGAGGTCAAACTGAACACAGGCAGGCCTTCACAGGGGAAAATGTTATAGGAATGGGGTAAGAATCCTAAACCCCAAACTTAGGAACCTATTAATCAAAGGCTGAAGTTTAAGAAATGCAGAACAGCTTGAGTATGAAATGAACAAACGCCTGCCCACCCTGGAACCAGCACTGACCACATGACCCTGCATGTCAGAGACACAAGCTGCCCTTTTTCTTCAGGTCTGGCATTTACTTCCGCAGTGAATCTGCTTCTGCTATTTCTTTTTGCCACGCAGGAGGCCTCAGTGACAGAGACACAGCGATCCACTTCCTGTGGATCCCTCTCTAACCACATGGATCTCACAAGATAGATTTGAAAAGCAGAAAATCACCAGCACGGTGTGAGCCTACAACCTCCTCAAACAAAGCTCGGCTGCTTGACCCGTTCTCTCTTACACGTTCCCATGCATGGCAGCTCTGTTCACTGCTGTAGTACAGGAAGATTAATTATTATTTACATAATGTCAAGGGAACCTGAAGGAAGACAGAGCTTTCTCTGCATTTCTTTACTGGTTTCTCCCTATCCCCAGGTTCAGAAAACAACAGTTGGCTTGAAAAACTACCTGAGATGCCTCTGAGGTCTCTGACGGTGACCAGGTTTGAGCAGACGTGCTGGTGCCGGTAGATGGACTCAGAGAGAAGGAAATGCAGGTTGTGCAGCGGCAGGGTGGAGATGAGGGGCAGCATACCGTCCTGATGGGGAATCTGCACCGAGATGTGGATTCTGGAACAAAAGGGTGGATGATACAGCAGAAAAGGGACCCTGAAGGGATGTGGTTTCAGACATGTTCTCCTCTTGAGCCAAGCCAGCTCTGTAAGCCAGGGAGCCCGGCCAAGGACTTTGCTGTCCCCCTTCTCCAGGCTCATACCTGTTGGGATGCTCCTTGTGCTTGACATCCAAGTACTTCAGAGTGGCAATGAATGACTGTGCCTGGAAACCTCGGGCTGTCCCTGCGACCACAGGAGTGTGACAGATGGCACTGTCTGTGCCTATGGTAACGATGTTGCTCCTCAGGGGCGTCCCCACATGCCCAGCCTTGTCCACAGCCTTGGCCACGCAGCGCACGTGGAACCGCCGGCTGAAGTAAATGCTGTCCAGCACCTGCCGGGAAGGAGGGAGAAACAGGCAACGTGGGTCAAACGTACCAGTGGTGCAACATCTGACTGTGTAGCAAAATCACGCTGTCCCGGCGTTTTGAGGCAGCACGGAGGCGAAGCACAGGCAAACCAGGAGCTTGGCCACGCGGCCATGCAGTTGGGATCGGACTCTTGGCACCTGTGCTGCAGTAGATGCTCGAGTGTGTTGGGTGCTTCACGGCTTCCTAACTCTGCCCACGTACCAACGGGAGGGTAAGAGGGAGCCTGAGCTCTTATGATCTGCCAGGCTCCACATGCCTCCTGCCGCCAGGGATTTACTGAAGTGCCTGAGCACTCACAGCTACTTCCCATGTGAACAGAAGCGGTGCTTTCAGCAGGCTCGGTGAGGAACAGCGCTCAATTTTCTGAAGCCAAAAGAAAAAAAGAAATCCCCAAAGAAGCACCCCTATGTCTCACGCCAACTCCCAAATTCATGAAGATTTCAGGTTTTAATCTCTCTGTAACTAAAGTGTGCGCTACCCCCTAAAAATGCCTCAGACTCATGCATGAGTAGGCATGGTCCAGAAACACACCTGGATGCCCGAGAAGAGCCAAGCCATCACATGTGGGAGTGCCTGGGAAGAGCCCCCAGAGGAGAACAGTAATTCTGCTTGTGAGCAGGATGTGACCAGTCCAGGGACAGAGGTCTCGGGCTGCACACAGAGCCATGCGGCAAAGCCAATGCCTGAAGGAACAAGCGGTTCATAACCTGAGCTACGCCCTTCCCGCAACTTGAGCCAGGGGGAAGGAAAGCAGACAATCCCACAGCCAAGCCCTGTTAACACAGGTCACATCACCGTGCTGAGCTCTTATTCAGGCCCAGCCCCTTTTTCAGGTGTGCCACTTTTCAGCTGGTGGAACGCAGCCAACGTCCGAGTGATCGCATGGTGCAGGGACCGATGGAGCTGACCAAGGCCTCGCTGAGCTCTGCTGTGCACTCCTGCAGCTCCGCCGTGCCGGTACCGTGCCACGTACCTTGTGGTTGACGCTAGTGAATGGTGTGTTGTCAGTGATGGTTTCAAAAGGCGACCTGGCTCCATTTCCATCCGTTGGGGTTGCTACTTCCCAGCTGAACTGTATTGAAGACTGGTTGATTCCAGCCTCGCTGCAGCGTTCCTTCATGACGGTGTACTTGGGGAAGTGAGGGTCACAAGGAGTGACACAGATAAGTGGATAGCCTGGGGAAGGGGATTTCCTAGCACCGTCCTTGGTCACTTCTTCCACCCGGTCGTAATCAGCCAGGGTGACGACCTGTACGGACGCAAGACAGCAGCATTCGCCTGGGGAGGGGGCAGAAAAGGTAATCCTTCCCACACACTCCAAGGATTGCAGCTCTTAATTTTATTTCAGAAACCCCACTGGGATTTTCAGGCTGTAGTTGAAGGGTACCAAATCACATCCATTGCCATGGAGAACTTACCACGGGAGGTGCTGGAAGAATCAAGCTCCCTGCTGCCTCCTGATCCAAAATAGTCACTATTGCGGTGCTGGTATCTCCAAGAACAGCTTCCACTGGATCATCTGGACCCAGCACCAGAGAAAAGGACTCGTGCCACTCCCGGTCTTCATTGGACATGATCTCCACCTTAAACATGATGTGGTCCACACCTGTGAGAGGAAATGCAAGAGAAGCAGAGAGAACATGATTCATTATCAGATATTGCCCTGAAGTTCTCCTAAAAATCCCACACAGCTGGTCTAGGCTACGACCACTGAAACGTTATGATAAAATACGCATGATAAATTTTATTCCTGCTTATTGCTTCTAATAATTTAGCCCTGTGCACACAGGAGTTTACACATAAAACTCCAGCTATGACAACTGATCCAATCGATCAGGTGATAGCTTTACTAGCAGATGCCATCTGGTGATTAATAATGTTTGTCTTGTATTAGGTCCCTGTAGTAAAAACCTGTGATCCAAAATACACCCCCACCCCTGCTGTGTGCATCTCTGCTCTCCCTCACGCCAGTATGCAATACTGTTTGGTTAGGGCTTCTTGGTCCAGCAACACGGTCTGAGCTGTTGCACTGGGTCCTGAAAGATGTCTGCTGAGCCTTACATCCCCCGAAGGCCGCTTCACTCTCGCCTGCCAGATGCTAAAAACCATAACCTCCCCCTCAGCATCCAAACGCCGGATCCTTCTCATCCAGCGGGGCATTGTGAAGGGATGAAAAGTTGTACACAAGAGAAAACACGGCAAGATTTAGGATGGCCTTCCCATTTTTCAAGTGACATTAATTCCAGTGAGCAGAAAGTCTCTGCAGACATTTACAGTCTGCTCAGCGAAGAGCTCACCCCCTCTGGGTTCTCATTCCCTCCTCCTTTTCACTGTCCCTCTGCCTGGGCAGCAGCCTGGCACTCTCTGTATCGAGCTGAGAGGGCTGGTGCTCAGGACACCAGTGTGTTTGAACTGAGAATGATTAGGCAGCCAGAAGGGGAGAGGGGAAAGGTCACGTCTAATGCAAGGGAAGGGGAAAAGTCTTGCACCCCGTCCGTAGCACACTGAAGAGCTAGATAGGTGTTTCTTCCCAGAAAGACTGAGATGAGCCCACGGTCAGACCCCAGATCAAATCTAAATCCCAAAATCTAAGGATATATTATGCCTTCTTACAGCAAATGCAGTTCACTGGGAGCAGTTGGACCTGTGTTGCATTGCAAACCTCACGCAGAAAGCAGCTTTTTCCAAATCTCCTCAATATTTCCCTTCAATGCTCCTTTCTGATACACACAAAACATCACTGGTCATGCCACCAGCTCTAACGTTCCCTCTGAGGACCCTTTACCTGGGCTGAATTTGAGCATTCGACTCTTGGGATAGTAATCCACTCCAGCCTGAGCTGAGCCATCGCGGGTGCTACAGCGGACTTTCGAGGTCCTGTTCTGATCTCCTCTGCGGACCACTTTGATATTTAAAACGGCAACACCCTCCGGGCCGGGCGGCTCCCGTACTTGGTATGCAGCTTCTTCAAACTCAATGGTGGGTGCTAAAGAAACAGCAGTGAAGGAAAAGGCCCAGGTTGGCACACCAGCCGACTGCTTACAGATGAAGGGCGTTTGGCACTGGGGTGAGCTAAGCTCAGCTCCTTCTAGACTCTTATCTGCACTTCTTCAGAGCAAGGGGCTCTCAAAAGAGGGGCCAAAACTGCAGCTGGAAGGGCTGCATGTAAATTAGGGCAAGGCGTGGGGCAAAACCCAACACGTACATCGGGCTACAGAGGATGACAAATAATTCTCCCATTCCCCGCCTCCCACTGAACCACATGTCCCCAAATCCATGCCACGTGACGGTGCTACAGGCCCCGCTGGCAATCACACCGAGGAGACCTGGCATCCCCCTTCCTCCCCACAGATCTCTCCAGGCTGTGCCACTGCGGAGGGAAGGCAGCTTCTCTCAGGGGAAGCACAGCAACTCCCTGTGCAACTGCAGGGGAGGGGGAAATGGGACACACGGTGGGTTCCAGCCACTGTTAATCCTCCCTTCAAGACCAGATCAGTGCACAAAGCCGTCACGCCAGCGACCTGCGCACAGAGCCGTGACATGGGACCGAAGGCCTTCACGTGTACTAAAATAAACCCCAAACTGCTGATGAGACTGCGCTGACTGCTTTGGAACTGCACCCTACACTACGACATCCTCGCTTACCGTCTTCGTCATTGGTGACAGTTACGGTTGCCATGTTCAGCTTCCCAATCCTAGCTCCACTCCAATGGTTTCCAAGCGGGCTACCAAGATGGACCTGGAATTGCTCTTCTGGTTCAAAGGCAGAGTCATCACTGATATGAACACTGCAGTTCTTCACCTAAAACCAAGAAAGGAGAAAAGAGCAAACATTCATAAATCTGATGAAGCCACTTAAAGGCCACCCTGTACTTCACTATCCAGGGTTTAATGACCGAGTACTGTCAATCCTGGAAGAAACACTTTTATTTTTAAGGCTGGTACTTCAGTGTGGACAAACCACACAGTTACATGATGAGACACAGCAGCGAAGACACCTACTTCCACAAACCACAGGAGAAAACAGCAAACATTCATAAATCTGATGAAGCCACTTAAAGGCCACCCTGTACTTCACTATCCAGGGTTTAATGACCGAGTACTGTCAATCCTGGAAGAAACACTTTTATTTTTAAGGCTGGTACTTCAGTGTGGACAAACCACACAGTTACATGATGAGACACAGCAGCGAAGACACCTACTTCCACAAACCAACAGCTCTCTGCTACAACTATCCTGAGTCCTACTGACACAGAGGATTTGCACTTCACGTCTTAACCAGCTTAATCATGAAACAAACAGCCCCTTCCCAGTCACGTCCTATTTCCAGGACCAGAAGAATTTGTGACTTCAGCATCTATGAAACCAGTTTGGATGGCCTCTGTCAGCTCCCTCTGACAATGCGGAGTTGAGGAGGTGTGGACCTCTCCCGTCAATGGTTCTGCATTCTCCCTGTCAGCCAGGTTCAGCTCACCTTCTCCCCTTTCAAGAAAGTGATGCGAGACTCCTCTGCATTTCTCCTCTCTGCAAAGTCCTCCATGACCTCTGCTGTCTGGCTCTGGGTGTAGCACCTGACAGAGGACTCGTAGCTCAGGTCCCCGGTGCGGAAGATGGGGATGTGCAGAGTACCCTCCTTCTCCTTCACCGTGTACGTGTCCTTGGTGAACTGCATGCTTGGTACTGCAGGAGGTAAGCAAGAGTCAAGCAGCGTTGAAGCTTCACAAAGAGACAGAAGCTGATCGAAGCACACACACACCCTGGCAGAACTGCTGCACTGAGACTGACAGACAGAGCATAAAACCGCATCTCCTCTGTGCCTCGATACAGGGTTCAGTTTCAAACAAACAAGTGCCCATTACTGCCATCAACCCTCTACAGAGCACAGGATCAGCAGACCCTGCGGCGCTCCAGGAAGAAGGCATCTCTCCTGGTCACCTCTCAGCCACCTGACTCCAACAGCTGATGGAACTTGTTCATCCCTATCACTTTGGTGCTGCTGCAATGTGCTGGGGAACAAGACCGGGCTGGCGGTACGGGGATGGTGTGTTTGCGAGGCACGTCGGGAAGGGATTTATATGAGGACTCAGAACTGAAATGGATGCTCTGTCTCAACGCACCATCCTATTGTCTGTGGACAGGCACAGAACAAATAGCTTGCAGCAGAGGGCAGACCTCAGCAAAAGATACAAAGGTAGAAATGATTATAGACCGCTCCAAAGTTAGATTACACAGTGTGTGCTTTCCTCAGGCGAGGAAGCACGAGAGACCTTAAAACAGGAGATCAAGGAAACATGCAGTGAACCATTCTCACACAGTAAGGGGGGCTCCAGCGCACAGACAGTGTGGAAAAAGGCTGGAGCTCTAAGCAGAAGAGTCAAAGCATGGCTGAAAGTGAAGGAATGCTGCAGGAAAATTCATTCTGCACTTCCAAAGACTCTTCCAAAAGACACTTCCAAAGTTCTTTTGGACAGTGAAGCATGGAAAGAAATGGGGCAGCCAAATGGAATGGGAGGATCCTAGCTAAATCCAGCCTAGAAACAGCGTAACTTGGACTAGCCTCCTGCTGTGTGGAAGTGTGAAGGAAGAAGCTAGGATGGACCAGAGAGAGCTGCCATGGAAAACTTACCATCTTGTAAGATGTCACTAATGGCCACGATTGCTTGGAACGGCTTTGTCAGCTCAGCTCCATGGGGTGAGCTGAGATAAACAACAAATGTCTCCAGCCCCTCTATCACCGGGTACTGCGCATCGTCCAGGATTGTCAGAGTGCAGAACTAGAAGGAAAGCAGAAGTCCAGCTTTCAGAGGCGCAAAGCTGTCATCCTTCCTGGCACCCCCATCTGGGTGTCTAACATAAAGACACTATGTCAGGCCTTTTCTGAATTCATTAATCAATGGAAATGGTGTTCTAGAGAAATCCGGCATATCATTTCAGAGTAGGCAAACACCTTTTCCCGAATGTTCCCTGGCTGGAGTGCTGACCAGATGTAAGTCTGTGCCTAGCAAATTCCTTAACAAGTCTCAAGTGGCCCCGAGAGGATTTTCAAAACAGGCAAATGGCAAATACAGAGTATGCACATAAACAAGAGAGAAACGTCACCAGGCAGAGCAGACTCATCAGGAGTGAAAGTGGCTCCTCACCTCTTCTGTCTTGCCTGGCCTGAACTCTATTTTTCTGGAGCTGGGGACGTAATCGATTCCCGGGCTGGCAGATGGAGGGTCTGACGTCCGAGTGGCACACCACACCGAGATGGGGGTTGAGAGATCTGGTCCCTGTCGGAGGACTGGAATCTCAATGTTTCCTGCATCGCCAGTTGCACATGAGAAAGAACCAAGATGAGAAAGCAGCCACATACCACAAACCCACTCCTTTCTCTGCAGTGTGCCCTTCTCCCTTCACCACTGCTCCTGCACCCAGCACAGGTTGCTGCAGAGAACAACCCCCAGCCATCCCCACAGGGGCAGAGGGAAGAACAGAAACCCTGTGCAGGTATTTGCAGTTCTGCTGCTGTGCCCCAAACTGCTCCTTCTGATACCTCTTCCTGATGAAAGCATGCTTGAACAGCAAACACCCCAACGTGGCGTGGAGCAGCCCGGGGGAAACCCCTGCTACTCTTCACCTGCAGCCTCACTGACGGTGAAAGTAGCGTTCCCCAGGAACACGGTAGAGGCGTCGTTGGGACCACTGATGAAGACGTTGGCTGACGCCCGGCTGCCGATGCGTGTGTTATCCGAGGCATCGGCCAACACGATCTCAAACTCCTCTTCTTCTTCGTATTCACTGTCGTCGATCAGCATGACGTCACATGTCATCCTGGTGACACCCGGACCAAAAACAATGCGGCTGTCATCCGCCATCCCCCGGGACTTGAAGTCAGAGCCAGATTCCAGCATATAAAGGCTGCTCCCCTTGGCTGATTTGGGGACAGTGTAGCAGATGGCAGACACGGTGCTGCTGGTATCCCCTACAACGCAACAGAAAAAATCCATAACTCTATGGAAATACTTCTACTCCATTTGGTGGAGACAACATTCACTTAAATAATAAAGCAGCATTCGGAAAAGAGTGTGAGGAGTGAAAAAGAACACCATCCCTGCTCCTAAACTTCCATAAAAGCGGCCTTAAGTCTGACTGGCAGGCATATTCCAAGACTGCACTCTTGGCTACCGTGACTGGGAAACAGTGGCACTTGCCTATTAAAGAACAAACAGTACAGTGATAGGGTCCACATAAAACACAGCAACTAGAACACAGAGAAGCAGCAAATAAATATTGGGGTTTTCTCCTGCTCATGCTGCGAGGAGAAATGAATCCAAAGGAAGGAACTTTAGCTGCAATGGTGAAACTTTCAGCAGAGCTGGGAAAGATAAAAAAAAAACCCCAAACATCTGCCCTGTGTTGTTATTTGTCATTTCAGTTGTGTCACAAAGCTTCTTCCAAAGAATCACCCCAAATTCATAAACAAGCAAACCCCAAGGAACTCCAATTGTTTTGGGGGGTCACAGTTATTTGCCTGCCAACAGGAAACAAGTCGTTTGCCTGAGCCTGGCAAAGGTATACACTGCAAAGACTCCAGCAGCTTTGCCGTAATCCTAGTCGTGTGATGAAAGACTATGGGATACAGGCACTAAACCACTTCTGTTATCTGTAAAGTACAGAATTAAACTTAAATCCAAGTTCTAGGCAGCCACACATACTTCACAGTCTGTCCACAGGTCCTTCACTTCCCTGTGTATCCAGTTTAATGTTGGCCACAGTCTCCAGGGCTCCCCACCCACACTACCTGCTGTGCGGGTTCAGACTCTGCACGTCCCACCCACAGCAGTGCCTGTGGAGCCACCTTCCCTCCCATGAGAACCCCACAGGAGCACAGAAGGTCACTGTGCCTGGCTCGACCCACCTTTCCTTTCAACAGGAGCAGAGAGAACGCCAGCGCTCTCGCTGACATGGTACGTCTTCCTGTCGAACTGCAGGGTGGGCTCGTCCTCTTTGTCCATGATGGTGACCGTGGCCCGGGTAATGTTCCCCAGCAGAGCGTAGGCTGGCATGCTGAGCTCCACGGCGAAGGTCTCCGTGCTCTCAAAGAGGGTGTCATCATTAATGACGATGGTGCAGGCTTTGGTGTCCTCCCGCTCCTCAAACTGCACCTGGAAGGCAGCGAGTGGCCTACTCTTCTTCTGGGGTCTGAAACCGTCTGTTCTTTCTGCCTTACCCTTGGCTGAGTCACATACCCTGTGCTCGGGCAGCATCAGCCACCGACTGTAACCAAGGATAAGCGGGTAGTGGAGGTCGAAGGCAGCAGCAAACGCTGTGCGTAGGCCTCCACCCCTTCTGCCCTCAGTCATGGTTTTAGCTCTTTGCACAATCAGGAGTGACATTCCTCCTCAGGCAAGCCTGTAACATTTGTGGCCTCTCACAACAGTCCCCTTTGTGTTTTTATCCGTTCTTTCATCCAGGCTTGATGACACGCATGGTTAGACCTTCCCTTTCCTGGTGTCCTTGACCTACCTGTCCGGCATACTCCACGTAGTCCTGCTCTCCTGGCTGTGAGCCAGAGCTGGAGGTGGCTGTTCCCTGCTCTGTGCGGCACAGGACAATCGCGTACTGGTTGAGGTTACCGATCCGCCTCACGGTGACGCTCACAGAGCCTGCGCTCTCTCTGACGTTGTAGCTGGAAACGTATCAAGCAGAGACAAATCACAGGCTGGGGAGCAAACCCTATGTGTTTAAGCTGATACTGAGCACCACAGACTCAGGCCGATTGTTGTCTCCATAGAAAATCTGAGTGACACTAATAACCAGGGACGTGGGCAGATGGCAGCTATTCAGCAACCCTGCTCCATGGTTTAACCTGGCAGGCACAGCTCCTCAGTGACACACACGAGTTCCCACTTCCATACTGGCTGCTGCTGGCCACCCCACCTAGAAATCAACAGTGTTAATTCAACAGGAATGTCACGAGTGGTGCTACTGTGCAGAGCAGCGAGACCTGAGGCCTGACGGGATGCCAGGGAAACACAGGCAGAAACGAGGGTAACTGCCCCAGCATTTTGTTTCCATGTTGTATGTCCAATCATGTACTACAGATCTCCACCTGCCTTGCTCCAGATAAGACTCCATGTGGCAGGAGAGTGCTGTAAACCCCATGCCATTTACCTGGTGTATGTAAAGCTGAGGAGAGACCACTGGATATGGAAGATGTTGCCACTGACCACGTTGGGTTTGCTGTCCTTCACTAGGAACTGAAAGCTGTCCATGGTCTCCTGAACCTTCTCCTCATGCATCACGTATCGAATGAGGCCCTGGTTCACATCCTCTGCCAGGAGGAGACATCCAATGAGCCCACCCAGAAATCCAATGGCAGTTTTATAGACAAGCAGTGAGGAGACATGCCTCCGCAGGGATTGGGTTCTCCACATGCCCTTTATGCTGCAGCAGCTTTTCTAACTGCCCTGGTCTTACCTGTGGTAGAAGCCAGCCTACAAGCTGTGACAAGACATTCCCTTGCCTAGTCTTTATCCATAATGGCTCATACTTAAAAAGCAGCTTTGGTGAAATGCAAAAAATATGAATTTGCCTAGGCAGCACATATTTCAGTTCTGTTCTATAAGCTGCCATGTCCTAACAGGGCTTCTCACTGCTGAGATGGTTTGGGGTCCCTGACCTTCTGCAGTATAGTATGTTTCCCAAGGTTCAGCCCTAAAACGACGTTAAGTCTCTTCCTTTTTTTTCTGAGCACACGGAGGCCAAGCGTGGCAGGCAGGGCCTGATGAGAACGGGCTGTCAGACCTGCTGACTGTGTCTGTCAGTGTGGTGTGAGATTCTGAGAACTGCAGCAGCAGAAGCGCTGAAGGCTGCACTGTTGACTTCACTCTCAGCCTGCCCAGGGGAGTATGGAGACAGCAGTGCTCAGAAGGAGCACAGTGGCGCAGGAAGCATTTATCCCTCACCTCCCCTTCCTAACGGAGGGCCCCTCAGTCCTGCAACGGTGAACTTGCCACGCGTTGTTGACTCTGCACTGCTGGCTAAACATCTACCAGACCTTGATTAGAGCCACATGCAATATCTACAGCTCCTCTTTGTTGTCCCAAGTCAAATCTCTGGCTCTAATGAGTCTGGAGAACCTGCGTGTGCTACAGGGCACAGGTTGGCATCTATAAGAAATCATAGGATTTCTGCAATTGAGAGCAAAGTTCAATCCTTACTTTTGATGCACCTTTGAGATTTGCCCCTTATCTTCTCCCCTCCCACCTCACCCCAAGCTATCGTGACAAACTGAAGCAGCTGAAGGAAAAAAGCCATCATATACAGTCCAACTTCCTTACCCTGTGTAAAGGTCGTCACGGTTGACCCTGGTTTCAGCTTATTCTCCACATAACCATTCCTGGGACCAGTTGTTATCTCATAGATCAGCTGTTTGTCATCTGTGTCAGGATCTGTTGTCAGTAATTCCTTCTTGGTGATTACATTGGTTGCCTGGATTAAAGCCAAACCAAGGAGAAAAACTCTGGAGATCCAGCAGTGCAAGTCTGATTGACCGTTCATCCAAAAGGCCCAACCATCCCGCTGCCAGACAGTACTCCATGAGGGAAAAGCTAGGGGATGTAAAAGCACAGAGCACACAGAGCAGCCTTCAACAGACAAATGGCCCACCTGGTGTTTGACAGCACAGGAAAGACTCAAATTCCGCCTCACACCTGGTTTGTTTAATAAAAAAACCCACTGTGGCTCAAAGAAAAGGACATTCAGAACAAGCTGCCCAGCCCTATCTAGCTGGGGCTAAAAGCTATGACAAATCTTTTGGTTCCACCCGGGTATCACTGCTCCATGAACTGTGCTGACACTCAGCTGAGGTCTGGCTCTGCAAGACACATTTGCAAACAGCCTCAAGTTGAAGGATTCGCTCAGGACAGCTCATGCTGCTTTAGTGAGCCTGCACTAGTCCTCCTTCAAATGACCTCACGCAGATGTGCCTCAGTTCCACCACATTTTGCTTTCTCTTTCAAAAGAAAACACCTTTAACAGCAGGAGAAAAAAGAGAATTGAACTGCCTGAGGCTGCAGGAGTGTTTTTTCTGAAAGGCAGGAATTTGAGCTGAGATAGCCACGTTTTAGTACAATTTCTTACAACAGCATCTTCCAACCCTTTTTCTTGGAAAGAACAGAAGTATTTCATTGCAGTTAACACTCGGTCCTCAAAAACAAGCACAAGAGAGAGTACCCCGGGGTTTTGTTTGGGCTTCAGTCAAACAAAGGCATGTCACAGCAAGAATTTCCCATGCCACCTTTCTTTGAAAGCCATGTATCTCCCCCATGGCTGCTGCCGCACAGAAATCACGACCTCTCCACCATCAGCAAAGCTGAAAACATCCCACCCTGGGGAGGAGGGCCAAGGGGCAGGATGTGCCCACCCAGGAAGGCAGGCAGGAGCTGCAGAACACTGCACAGCTCGTGCAAGTGTCACGAAGAGCTCCGCTTGGTTGTCCTGCTGATGTAAGGGAAGGAGATGATCCAGGAAGCAATTCAGTGCCCTGGAGCCACATGGCCTGGTTTAGCTAATGGAGCAGCAGAGCAGGCATCCCGGCACACCTCTGCCTTTTCCAAGACACTTGATGGGCACGAGGGACACCTGTTTTCTACCAACAAAATAAAAATGGTGAAGGAACAGGATGTTCTTCTCTGAAGCTCCTTCTCCTGGAAGAGCCTGAGGAACCATCTAAGCTGAACCCAGACAGGCAGTTACCTTGCCATCCATGTACTCCAGCCACTGCAAACCCAGGTTGGTGACCACCCTGGGTGTCCCATCATCCACAGAGAGAATGTCCACTTTGAAGCGTTGAGGTGCTGCTGTCACAACCTGACAAAAGTTCAGAGAGACGGCTGTTACTTTAGGAGTCAGAGCCTCATCCACCACATTACCAACTTTGCTCTGTTGGGATCAAGGTCCTGGGGTGAGTTTGCCCATACGAAGGCTGGTACATCAGGGAAGAAGCACATGACATCACATAACTGAGAATACTCATCCCTTATCTTCAGTGGAGTCCCAGCAGCTGTCTCCCCTTCTCTGAGAGAGGTAGCTTTAGAAAGTCTCCCTCACACGCCTTCTCCCCCCCCTTACCTTCTTCCCCCCATCCTCCACAATGAAGAAGGGATTGGTGCCATCGGACACAGTGAAGGTGAAGCGATCCTTCAGCGAGTTGCTACCGTCGTGACTGTAGCTGATGCGATTCTGGTAGATGTCATCCATTGTGAAGGTGGCGGCGTGGTGGTAACGCTGCCCGTTGCTGGTGCGTTCGATCAGGCCATGCCGAGGGGGCTGCATGACTGTGAACGTAATGGACTCAGCCTGCACCAAGGAGACAGAGTGGCCAAGCTGATGATGTGACCCCAGGACCAGGACAGGCAGGTCCTTGCAGCTTGAGATACCCGGAGAGGGACTCTACATCCAGACAGCTTCCCTAGCACAGTGTTTCCAACCAGGGGCTGGAAGGCAGCACAGCATGCTGAACTGATTCACCCTGAGCCCTGCCCTGCCTTTATCCCTCTCCCAAGGTGGCTATCTACAAAACAAACCCAGTCAGGGCGAGCTAGGCTAGACATATCACACCAAACCACTGGTTCAGCTGATCTGAGTCAGCGCTCGCCTTCGTGACGACCCCTCAAACACAAAAGCAGCCCCCCATTCTGCAGCCATTCTAAGCAACGTGCCCTGTGTCGCTTCTGTCGGGGTGGAAGCAGCAATAACCTTTGGGGCAGGATCTTTGGCTCAAGGCAATAACAGGCAGCCAGGGGCTTTCCTGCTGCAGGGAAACTCAGGTACAGCCACCAAGCCACCACTTAGCCTCTGGTCAGATCCAGGAGGAGGAAGAGGAAACGTCATTTTCATCTGTGCTAGGCATAAACTCAGGGTCACGGCTAGGGATAAGCTCAGATCAAATCCACAGTGTTCAGAGAGAAGGTGGGACAGGGCAAGTATTAGCTCTGATCACAACTTCCAAATGTTTTCCTTGCAGGTTTGTTGCTTGTATGTCTGAGAGACATCCCAGATGAAGCCATTTCTCAAGCCAGGACTTTGCTTTGCTCCAACACTCATTCATCTATGTCTATACAAATTGGGCCTCCCACAAGCTGCTTGTTTGATATTGTGATCAGACAGGGTATGATCTCAGGGAGAGATGACACTCACTGCGGTCTCTCTCTGAACACAAGCCCATTTTTCTGACAGCCCAGATAGGCAGCAGCACAGGGGAGGGAGGAGGCAAGGGGGAGTCCTGCCTTACCTCTGTGTCAGCATCTGTTGCTTTAAGCTCAAACTCTGTGATGGTTTTTCTCACACCTTCCTGAACTGTCATCCCGAGGCTTTGCACTATGGGTAAGGAGTCATCCACAGGGTTTATGGTGATGTCAAACGTCTGGCTCACCTGGAAGAGGAAGAAAAGCCTCTCTTGATGAATTCAGTCTACCAAGAGTGCAATTCCACTGAAAGAGTAATGCTTTGAGGAGATCATAGTGATCCACTGTGTTTGGGTCACTTCATTTTGGCCTTGTTCAGTGAGTAAAAAAGAGCTTCTAAGCTCAACTCTTGTGATCACGATGACTTCTATCCCTCCCCACTAATTTATTCTTCCTCCTCCTGTGATATTTATGGACACCTACTTTTCCCTCCCTCATTTGACTTTATCCTCCTCCCTCTATTTGCAGCTATGGTTCTTCCCTTTCAGAAAGTAGGAAGGAGACATTTCTCAAGGGTCTAACTGTGCTCCTGCGTATGTTGTCTGTGCACCAGATCAAAGCTTAGCTCCAGGGGCAATTGGTAAGCAGATGAAAAGCAAACACTGAAATCTTGGTAAACCAGTGTCACGAAGCTGCATCTCAAGTGGCTTCCCTTTACCTTCACGGGGCTTGCTCTCTTCCCTGCAGTACGTGCAGGGGAAGCAAGAGCACCCACTATCACCAAACAACAAGCCCATGTGTGGCTTGTTTAATTTCCTTTGCTATGTGCAGGTGTCTCTCACAAGCACGCAAAGGGAAAATTGACTCTTATCACATCCTACAGAATCAATAGCCTGCTCTGACTCGGGTGAAAAAACATGCTGGGACTTACCTCATTTGTTCCATCAGAAACAGAAAAGGTGAATGCATCCATATGCTTTTCAATGTCACTGGTGTGGACGTACCGGATGCTGCGAGAGGCCAAGTCTGCTTGGCTGAAGGCACTAATTCTTGTCCCTAGAAAAAGAACAGGGGAAAACGTACAATAGAGAGAGCAAGGCAGGGAAAAATATAGGGAGCTAGCTGGACATATCTAGCCTTTAGCACTAAGTCTGGGCTCATTCTACTCCAATTCAGGCTGTATCACAAACCTCAGCTGAGGCAGGGATTTAGATGGCACAGAGGCTCCTAAAAACTCTGCTAGGCAACTTTTGAATTAATGTAGTGGCAGCCCTTATGCAAAAAGAAGTATAAACCCTGGGCTGTAACCAGAGAAGCGAGCCCAGCAGGTCAAGGGAGGTGATTCTCCTCCTCTACTCTGCTCTCATGAGACCCCACCTGGAGTGCTGCGTCCAGCTGTGGAGCCCTCAACATCAGAAGGACATAGAACGGTGGGAGCGAGTCCAGAGGAGGCCACGAAGATGCTCCGAGGGCTGGAGCCCCTCTGCTATGGGGACAGGCGGAGAGAGTTGGGCTTGTTCAGCCTGGAGACGAGAAGGCTCCGGGGAGAGATTACAGAACCTTCCAGTACCTGAAGGGGCTACAAGGAAGCTGGGGGGGACTTTTTACAAGGGCCTGTAGTGACAGGACAAGGGGTAACGGGTTTAAATTGAAAGTGGGGAGATTTAGATTAGATATCAGGAAGAAGTTCTTCCTGGAGAGGGTGGTGAGGCACTGGCACAGGTTGCCCAGAGAAGCTGTGGATGCGCCATCCCTGGAAGTGTTCAAGGCCAGGCTGGATGAGGCTTTGAGCAACCTGGTCTAGTGGAAGGTGTCCCTGCCCAGAGGAGCGGAGTTGGAACTAGATGATCCTTAAGGTTCCTTCCAACCCAAATCCTGTGATTCTATGATAAACTTCTTCCCAGACATACAATTCTATGATGGCACCCCGCACTGCCAGGACTCGCTGCTGGGGATGGGCCTCTTAGGGCAGACAGTGAGAGAAGCTGTGTGAAAAATGGTGGATGTAATATTTCGATTTTCACTGCTGCGCAGGACAGAGCTAACCGTGGCATCTAAGCCTGGACAAAAGATTTCCTGGGCTTACAGCCATTTTCAAAAATGCCTTCAAAGTCTCTGCTCTCTTTGCCGCTGCGTGTACCCTGCATTTAGAACAGACTAAGCCCCGTTTTCAACACTGACTTACAGTGACATCTTTATAGGTCACTAGATGTGACACAGAAAGGTACCCAACAATCATTATAAAAGAGCACTTGAGCCTTTAAATCTGACTGCTGCATTTTACTGCTCTTAAGAACAACAAAAACCCTGACAAAAAGTTTTCGACCAATTTATCATGTTAAATGGCTACTGACAATATTGGCCACAGTCCAAATGATATCAGTATTGATACAAATAGATGAGCCAAAACTGGATGACTGGCCAAGGTTTCCTTGGACCTCATTAGCTTTAAAGGTTTGTGTTCTTTCTGAACACTCCAGTTCTCTCTCCTTAGGTTTAGGTCATTTAAAACATAAGAACAAGTCTTTCACAGTGTGTGACTCGATATCTTTCTTAGTCCATCACAGACATGAAAAAGTACAGAAATCAGAATCACCACATTTTAAATAACAGGAGGAATAAAATCCTTAATCCAGCTCTTTCAGGTTTCCAAAGTACAAGATTCACTGTTTAGTTTGCAATTTAGATAAAAATATTGCAAGCTCTTAATTTTCTCTCAGCAGGGGGCTTGCTTATTATAATTTTCATGCATTATTCCTACCCTTTCAACGTGCTTGCCAAACATCTTACAGTTTGGAGAAGGTGAGGGAAGTCATACACCAAACTGAGGTGTATAGGGACTGTCTGCACCTTGAAAACACACAGCAGGTATTTCCACTTTAATCTCATGGTAATGAGAAATCTAATTCTAAGAAGAAACATAATCTTAGCGGAGTATAATCTATATCAGAACAGCATATTATGACAGCATAGATTCAGACTAATTCGACCAGGGAGGGGTAGGACACTCATACTGTCAGTGGGCATGGAAGGCAACTCTCAAATTCAGATCACATTTGCAGTTAATTATTTTCTGCATTTCACAGGATTAACCAATTCCCCCCCTCTCTGAACGACCAGAATTCATTATCCAGCATATCCATCCCATGGCAATGCAGCTGCTTTTTAAACTAACTCAGTGGTTAGTTCCCTTCCTCTCTCTGAAGCACAGCTGGGAGAAGAGGCTGGTGTTTAGGGTTCAAGGGACACACTGGCCAAGAGGGAGACTGAAAGCAAGTTGTCTGTTCACCAAGGAGGGCTCTAGTGCCGTGGATGGATTAGGGGAGAGATTCTTTTGAGCTTTGTACTATATGTGGTCACAGAAAAGGCTGAAGGTTTGCCAGTCACGCAGATGCAGCAACATGTCCTGAAAGAGAAGATTCACGCAGCAGCAAGCTGGACTGATCTGCCAAGTCCACAAGGCACGGTCACCACGGGCCATAAACTCACCCAGAGGCTAAATAAATCCTCACCTGTGTTTATTGGGCTGCCTTGCCTCCACTCACCCTATTTTCCAGCTCTTTGGGCTAACGACCATTTGATTTCTAACAGGAAACATAATCCTGCGCTGCTGCCTCCAAGCACTTGTTTTCTGCAGTGAATCTTTAGGGTTCGAAAGCCGTCCAGTGCTTTGCTGCTAGAGTACTCAGCCGAGTGAAACACGGCCCTGCTCACCTGGGGAGGCCACATGCTCCAGGTGCCCCAGCTGTGGCTGCCTGGTGAGCTCGTACTGGAGCTGCGCCGGCTCACTGTCCTGGTCAGTGGCAGAGAGCTGCAGGGTCGTGATGGTCTTCGCCGAGTTCTCATCCAAGACCAGCCCTTCGTTAGCGATGATGGAAGGGGGAAATCTGTCCTCTGAAAGGATTAAATAGAAAGCTGAGTTAGGGACAGTCACCTCCCTTTCCCTGGTGTTATTTAAATCGGGTACTTGTGTTCAAGTGAAAGACAACACACACACCTCCCATACTGGTAATTCCAAAACAGGGAATCTGGGCCCCATTGAGGGGACAGTAACATTATCACGTCTTAAAGACAATCTAGGCAGTATGAAGATATTAAGGGGAATTTTTCTACCTTTCTCAGTGAGTTTGCCAGAAGCCAAAGAACTAACCCTTAAATCTGTGAACTCTCCCCATGTCCCAAACTTCAAAGGGCTTTGAATTAACAGCAAATAAAAACTGCATCTGAAAAATTGCATCTTAACTTGCAGTACACGTTCAATGGGAATCTATGAAGGCCCGAGCTTTGCAGCAAAGAGGACATAACTTCAGCACTATCTTTTACCTAATACACTAATATAAAACAACTGGTCCATCAGTTTGTTGCCATCTGCATCTGTCACATCAAAGGTGAAGGCAAAATTTCCGACAGGATCTCCTTTCTTGTGACTGTACACCACTTGCCCTGGAGAGAGGGACAGGAGAAAAGCAGTGATTTGTTACAGGCTGCATCATTTAGTTCTTAATTTGGAACCAGGCTGGCATCATAAGCTGAGGAACTTGTGCCTGACAGAGCTCCTGGATTTGGGTTTCATTACTTTTTCTCTTTACTCTTTTCCTCCTGCTGAGAGAGACTTTCTAACACCTACTTAACCATACGTATTTCTGCTCTAGCAAAACAACCTTATCTTCTTTCCCTCTCCCTTCCCTGCTTCAAGTCATCCTCCCCCTCTCATTAAAGATCATAGAATCACAGAATATCTCATGTTGGAAGGGACCCATAAGGATCATCAAGTCCAACTCCCTGCTCCTTGCAGGACTACTTAAACCAGCCACAAGTTACTTGCCATGATTCTCTAAAATTAAGCACTCTTACCTTTATTTATATCAGCCTGGGTGAAACTTCTGACAGGTCCTTCAACAGAGATCTGGACTGGATTACCAATTTTGGTCAACTGCAGATGGCCCACGCTGGGATCCCTCTTCATGACAAATCTGATTGTAGTATCATCTGAATAAATACCTGCCACTTTCAAATGCTGATCTGTGAGGTGTGCCGCTGAGCCTGGAGCAGAGAAAGAAAGTCCACAATGCTTCAGACAACCCAGCTAAGTGACTGGTTCAGACTGAACCATACAGCAGTACCAAGCAATACCGCTCTCCTCCCTCTCCCCATACCAGCTGGGAGCTGCAGGCCCCTGTTGACAGCTAATGTGGGTGACTGCTTCTTCGGCAGCTCCACGGAGAGCTCCAGTCTCCCCGTCTGCGTGTAGAGACCATCTGTGATGGAGAAGCCGAACTCATCTGTTTGTGCTGCTGCACCACCCTGAGTATAAACGATCAGCTCATCCACAATGTCCTGGTAGGTGAAGGATGAGCCCACGGACAGCACGTGTCCATGCTCCGGGTGCTCTGCAGCAGTCTGCCTCCTGCGGAGGTGACCTGACAAACAACAGATGGATGAAAATTATGGGGAGAAGACACCCTGCCAGGGACACTTCCTGTGACAGCTCTCAGTGGGAGGCACAGAGGTGGACATACCCTTACTGGAAAAAAGGAAGGAAAATATCTGCTTATTGCCAAAACTCTGAGAGTTTGGCTACATAGATGATCTGAAAAAGGGTGCACAGCCCTTGGTAGTTTAACACGACAGCAGCCTTCACTTGACACCTGCCTTGCTTTATCACTGCAGAGAGATGCTAGTTGCTCAGCTCTTTGGAACTGCAATAGGGAACCTCTTTGGAACCCTGCAATAGCGAGTGGGGTAACAGAAAAGGGAACTTCCCAGGGAAATGCATGCAGTCCCCCTTTCCACTCTCCCACAAACAGCGAGGGACAACTCGCAAGGAATAGGTCTGTTCTGAAGCACAACCCCTCTGTGGCTGCTGGCCCAAACACAGATGAAATGTGCTTTCCACAAGTATGCCAGGCTCCTCTCTCACATCAGGGGCTGTTACACACACAGACATAAAGACACACAGACACACAGTCTCTCTCTCCCCCCCCCCCCCCCCCAAGCTTGTCAGGCCTTACCATGTTCAGGACTTTTGGTAACCATGATGACCAGCTCACTGTTGTGGGTGTCCAAGTCCTGCAGGTTGAGGGAGGTGTTGGTAATCACCACTCCTGAGCCCTCACGTACTCTGACAGGCTCCAACACCATCTTCGGGGGCTCATCGTTCTGTCGCTGCACAGGTCCCAAAGGCACACAGTCAAAAAAGGGACATGGCCAAGGGGAAAAGACCGCTGCCCACTGGAATGAAATACAAGCTCCCAAACGACAGTATTGATGCTGACACCCATTAATGGGCTACACCAGTCTCTCCAAATCTATCCCGCATCATGGCTGCTTCTAAGAGGGAGGAGAAACCAGAGAAATAAGCCCTGGGGAAGAGGCTGCAATGAACAACTGTTCTTTTCTTTAATCCCCTTCCCACTTTAGGAAGGGTTGAGGAAAGCTTGCACTTTAGAAGTCATGTGTCTGTGTGAGAGGAGAGGGCTCTGTCTACCAGAGAGCACAGGCATACCTGAATTGTGATGTTAATGCTCTGCACCTCAGACTGGCTGAAGCCATCGCTCACATAAAAGCTGAAAGCATCACTTGTTGGCTCAATGCTTTCATGGACGCTCTGGAAGTAGTAAATCCTGTTTTCTGTAACATCTTGAAGGGAAAAGGATGTGCCTGCGGTCACAGCAGACTCGCTCTGCGGGCCAAAACTCTCACCTGCAAACCAAAATACTACTAGCGAAAGGATGTTCAATTCACTGATAAACTAAAAATAAAAGTAGCGGGATTAGGAGAAGACTGGCACATTGTGAAGGGTGCAGGAGGATGTTCATTCCTACAACATGGCTTTCCCACACCTGGTGACCTTTGTAGGAAGTAACATCTGCTGCATTAGAGTAGCCACTGGGGAAGCCGCAGTTATATGCACAGTACAAGCAATCCCACGTCCCAGAATTACTTAGGCTTTCTTCAGAGATGAGACAACCCCCAGTGTGCCATCTGGCCTCAACACAATCTCTACATCAAGCTTCACCTTGCAAAACTAAGTCAAACACCAGAGAGGATCGCTCAGCCATTGCCCGTTAAAGGAGAGAGGCTCACCGTTACCAAAATGGGACAAACTGGAGTTCACTTACAGGGCACAAGTAAGAGTGACAAGGGTAATGGTTAGCAACCTGTGCTCTCTAGAAGAAAGGCAATCACCGCTGTAACAAGCCACTACACTGGCCAACCCACGGTGATATTTTACAAAGGCAAGTTATGATTTAAGTAAAATGGTATATGCCACTCCTGTTACGGCCACACACAGGATTAAGCAGATGAGTCTCCTGGAGGAACATCTTTAAACAATACGGGATAAATCCTACCTTTTCTTGATATCACAGTGAGATAAGAGAACGTTACCAGCCATGCTCTACCATAGTTCTCACAGCCTCAAAGCTTGCTGGGACACTTAGAGGAATTTAGGAGTTTGTCCTGCGTAACAAGGACAGCCAAAATAAAGCCATGATGAAAATACAACACATGGGCTTGAAAAGGCTCCTAATGCCCCAGTCTCACAACACAGACCAGTCTCCAGCAAACGAGAATTAGGAGGAAATGCTCCCCAGAGATGGTTTATATTGTTACGAGCTCTTTATGATCAACTGATGCCAACCAGGACTGCACTGAGGAACTGAGGTGAGACAGATTAGAACGTGCTCCAGCATGACAATTCCTATGTTCCCTTTCATCAGCCACGAGGAAGAAGGGATAGGCAAGCAGTTTACCTGTTCTAGTGTTTTCGATATAGCCATACATAGGTAGAGTGACAACCGTGACCCTCAGGTCCTCCCTGGCAGCAGGATCATAATCAGCAGCTAAGTGGTGATGAGCCAGCAGTGGGACCCTGCCTCCCTCGTCCACCTGGAAAGCAAAAGCGTACAGCAAAACTACTGCCAACACACAGTGACACGCAAATTGTTACTAAACGAGTCTGCTTCTACGGAAGAGGATTCCCCAGTCCTCACGGTGTTCTCACTTCTCTGAGGTCCTGTCCCATCCTCCCCCAGATCTGTTAAGCATGAAATCAGTGGGAAGGTGAGGAGGAATGGGAAGAACAAAGCCCCAGGAGAAGCCTGCAAGTGCTTTACTGGGGCAGGCAGAGAACTGGCAGAGTCACGCTGACCTCTCAGAAGGCGAGATCTGCATTTCTTGCTGAGGGGAGCCTTTTGAAGGCAAGGGAGGGGAATGCAAAGCTGGAAGGGAGGGAGATGACTTCAAAAGGCTTTGATAAGGAGTCTGAAATGCTGTGTATCAGTCCAAAGCACCAGATGTTTTCAGCCTTCTGTTCATCTTTCAGAATCATAGAACCTCTTAGGTTGGAAAAGACTTCTAAGATCATCAGGTCCAACCACTGATGGATTTACACATAAACTGGTGGGATAAGGGATGAAATATTAAACAGGGATAAATCAGACTTGTTCCACTGACATTAACAAGACACCCTAGGAGGAACCCAGCTCCTGACTAGAACAGACATAAGCAGATGAGGGTCACGGAAGCAGCAGTACCTCCTCTGGTCTCCAAGTAATTTGTTAACCCTTTGCACTCACAGGATTGCGTGTGCAACACTGTGTTTCTTCACTGATTTCCCCTCAGTCCAGGAAAACTGTTCAATTTCTTACATCAAAGACATTCTTGTCACTGTTCCTAGCATCGTGGGTAACCACTTACAGTGATATGGTCAGCGAAAGCAATGAGCGATGGCACTGCCTGGGCAGGCATGATAGTGACGGTGAACATCTGTCTGTCAAGCCGGTTGTTATCGGCATCAAAAACAACGAAGTGGAAGATGTCTGTAACCGGCTGATTGCTGGTCTCGAACGTGGTGGAGTAGCTGTGGAAGTGAGAACACCAACCAGGTCAGGGGGTCTCACTGACAGTCAGGCAAATACCTCTCACCTCTGCATTAGAATCATAGAATCACAGAACGGTTTGGGTGGGAAGGGACCTTAAAGACCATCCAGTTCCAACCCCCCTGCCATGGGCAGGAACCCCTTCCACTAGACCAGGTTGCTCAAAGCCACATCCAGCCTGGCCTTGAACACTTCCAGGGATGGCGCATCCACAGCTTCTCTGGGCAACAGAGGTGATTGCACACCTCTTGAAAGAGAGGCCGTATTTCAGTTCCCAACCCTCCATCACCTGCATTCCCCGAGTTCTTTTAAATAACCATTTTAGGTGTTGCCTACCTAAAGTATCACCATGACATTGTGGACACAGAAAGAATTCCCATAATTTGGAGCTACACCAACTGCTGGCATTTCAGACATACGTGAACACCTAATTCTGCACTGAGGGAATGCTCTCATTTATAATCTCATAGGATACAACAGCCAAGAAAGGAAAAAATATCTTTGATATATTGTACTAATAGCCCTGAGATCCCTGCGGAAAGCCCACTGAGCTTTTAACTGGCATGGCTTGAAGGAGAACAGCTCTTTGATACCTGATCCTCTGGTTGTTGATGTCTTCCATAGTGAAATTATAAACCTTGGAAAGCTCTTCATCGTAAGAGGCAGACATGCGTAAGAGGGTGCCATATGCAGGCAGGGATATTAACTGGATTCGTATCTCCGAGTCAGGAGAATTGTTGTCCTAAACATGAAGAAACAAAGCAGATCAAAACAAGACAAGATTTTGTTTCACTCCACTAAAAATGGAAGGAGGAATCAAATGT